CTCAGGCATGAAAATGTGCCGCTCAAACACTATACTTTTCCGCTCACACTGAAAAAAAATTAGAGGGAACATTGATGCTAAAGGAGAAATATGCTGGCATGTTGATGTTTCCATATGCCACACTGGAACTCTACATAAAAATATTTGTATGATTGGGGGAATTGAATTGAAAAGAAGAGTCTATACTTCCACTATAGGCAGAACAATCTGTACTTTGGAGGAGAATCCTGTCTTGCCAGCTGACATCATCGGTTGTCAAAAGTTTTGATAGTTGAACAATATTTATTATAGCTTTGAGCCAGAGTACCTTGAGACCTGAAGGTGTGGCTGAGAACCATGATGGCCTGAATGCTAAGGCTATTTGTCCTCTAGCATATGTCTTGTTCTTAGCTTTTTGTGGCAAAGCACTGCTGACAAAACAGCCATAGCATTTCCTTAGCATAATCTGCAAGGAACTCCCAAGAAAAACATTTCTGTCCACCGGACGATTGCAGAATCTTATGGCTTCAGAAATGCCTTGCTGGAGAGTTTAACATTGTATCTGAATTCATTTTGGATTAAGCCCATTGGTTTTATAAATATTGTTATCGATACAGGTAGTCCTCAACTTATGACCACAATTGATCCCAAAATGTATGTTGTAAAATGAGAAATTTGTTGAATGAGTTTTGTCCCATTTTACAACTTTTCTCCCCACATTTGTTAAGTGACTCTCTGCAGTTCTTAAATTAGTAACACAGTTGTTAAGTGAATCTGGTTTCCCCATTGACAGAAGGTTGCAAAAGGGAACCACATGACTCCAGGACACTGGAACCATCATAAATGTGAGTCAGTTGTCAAGCATCTGAATGTAAATCACATGACCATGGGGATGCTGCAATAGCCATAAGTGTGAAAAACGGTCATAAGTCACTTTTTTCAGTGCTGTTGTAACTTCAAACCATTGTAAGTCAAGGACTACCTGTATTTTGTATTTGTATTTTTACTTTCATTTTTGGCCTATGGAACACAGTTTGTGAATTATTAAAAGGATTTAAAATAAATTATTAAGCCAAAAGCAAGCACATAATTATCAAGGCTTCCAAGCTGTAGGACAAAAAGATGACTAGCCAGCATATTTTGCATACAACTTTTTCTCCTTGAAACTTGGGTAAAAAGCATTTGATGAATATTTTCTGTGTGGTAATTATGGTATATTTTAGAATTTTGCAGGATGTATATTAACAGCATATATTAGCAAGGCTTTTGCAAGTTAATAGAATGTTACATACTCACATGGTAGACGCACATATGAAATAATCTTTGCACTTAAAATTTTGCTTGCCACAGATTTTTTTTTAAAGAAAACTAGCCAAAAGTATTTTTGCTTTCAGGATTTTCAGCAACCTTCTACAGCACCAATACAAAGAAGTCGGTCTTTTAATTGTCTTTCATCCCTTTCTCCCAATACACTTCCAATATATATTACAGATGCAGTGAGAAAGAGGGCAGGTGCTATTAAGTAAGTAATAACATTTTTATAAATTCTGTTGAATACATATATGTATAGTAATATTTTAGAAATATTTTTTCATAAAATGGCACCTTTCTTAGCTTTATCATAGCCTGCTTGGAATTGGAGAAAATAAGGTAAAGCAATTTGAATGCTGCCCAAGTTGAAATGTTATGGATTACACTGACTTCTTTCCCTTTGTTTCCTTAATTCAAATTTAAAGCAACATCTGATGGAGGTTATCTTTAAAAATATATTCTGTATTACATGAAAAAAGCTAAGAATTAAAGAATGGTATCAAACACATTACAGAAAGTTTTTTTTAAGGTTCAACTATAAGAAATTAACAGATTTTACTTCATTCTTTGTTTTTGTATACTTGTGATTTCATTTTGAAATAAGTAAAGGTAGTCCTTGATTTACCACCTCAATTGGGATCATATTTCTGCTTGTAAACCATTACACTTATACGTTGAGGCACCCATCTGACTGTACCGTATTTTACAATATTTTTTTGCAGAGGGCATTAAGCAAATTGTCAAGCAAATCCAAGGCCATTAGGTGAATGCAGTGGTCATGTGCGAATCTGTTTGGAATGGGCAGTTTTTTCTGGAGGCCAGGAAAAAATATGTTGTGAATTATGGTCGTGATCACAAGACCTACAACTAGTCATAAATGCAAGACAATTGCCAAGTACCCAAAATGCAGTCAGGTGAAATGGGGTACATGTATGTGAGATGCAACATTTATGATGGTTAGAGTCTAAGCCTGTTTTAATTTTGAACAATTGTTAAATGACTGGTCATAAGTCAAAAGCTATTTATATGTTCCATTGGCCACATCTATATTTATAGACTCCTGCAAGAAAATAAGAAATACAAGGAGAATGAAGGAGCTCGCTGGGCAGAGCTACAAAGAAAAAAATGTCAAGCAATATATAAATCAGTGACTTGTCGAGCAAAAGCTATGGATCCACATAAAAGTTTGGAAGAGACACACAAAGAAAAACTGAAGCAAAACTGGTCAGTTTTGTATATTTACCAAGTAATACTGAGAGCAAAATGTTTAAATATAGATTACTTAGTACTGTTTATGTATTCTGTACACATGTGTTTATTTAGATGGATTGGCTTTCAATTGTGCCCAAAATGTCACAATCATACAATAACTATACTTTGTTTACTTGTATTTACAGACTGCTTTTGCACAATTCCCAATTCCAAAATTTCATGCAAACAATAAACTAAAATTACACTGTATTAGAACAAGACTAACTTACAAGATTAGTCTAAAAAGATACATTAATTCATTGACAAATAGAAACCAATTTTATTTTTGAAAGCAAAGTATCCTCTATTCTGGGAATTATGCAGAACAAAGATTTTTTTCTGTATATGAACAATAATATAGATTATTTCAGGCAGTAAATTTAATTCTTGTTTCAGGCAAAATGGCCAAAAAAGGACAAGAGAGTATAAGAAAGAACTAGAAGAGATGAAGATGCGCGTGAAGAACAGACCTTACCTATTTGAACAAGTCGCAACAGTAAATGTTTTGTAATTGAGGAATTTTAAAAAATTACCTGAAACCTATTATTTAAAATTTATTTTCTATATGTTCAACTGTCTTATTTTAGAGTTTACCTAAGTATTTTCTTTTAAATTACTATTAATTTATTTGTGAAAGAGAAAAGTGTTTCTAAGATCTCTTTTTATTCCAAAGCATAGTGCCTGTCAAGGAGCACAGAAGCTTTTTAAAGACACCTTGCAGCAATTTGGATTAAATGAAGAGTTTGTGAAAAAGAAGGGGCAAGAAGCCACTAACACAGTAGAAAAGCAACAGGATTTTGAATTGAAAAGGTATGAAAGGAAACAATGTCTGTACTAAAAAAAATATGTAGTGGGGTTGATGCCACCAAAAGGCTAATGATTGTAGTGAAACCATGATTCAGAGACTCATCCCCAGCTTCAGTAGATGTCAACATGCACTAGCATTATATTTTTGCCCGTGGTTTATGAAACCAGATATTCCATACATCTTTTAAGGTATATTCAACCTTCTTATCTCTTCAACAGGTCTGCAAAACTGGTAGGCTACACTGGCATAATCATTTACATTCTATTATTGCAAATAGATACGGAAATAGGGAGAACAAGAGAATCTAGATGGCAACTGTCTCCCTATTCTGCCAGCAACAAAACAATAAATTCCTCCAGAACTGCCCCTTAAGCACTTGATATAATTTTCTTCCCTATCATGAACCTCCAACTTTAGGTAAAATGAGAGAGTGACTAACTCAGAGACTGTTGAAAGGATAAGATGGGAAAACTATATGCTACCCTGACTATATGTGACTATATGCTACCCAGAAAGGATTCATATGTGCTAATTTTGCCACTATGATGACCATTTTAGTATTTTTACTGACAATAATGTAATGAATGCTTTTAATCAACAGAAATCACAAATTCCAGAGCGGTACTGAGGCTGACATCATAAAACAGCTATCCGAAGAGGGTCTAAAAAGATTGGAATTAAAGTAGAAACAACTAATAAGTCTCCATTTGCTTTGAGCATATTTTCTTTCGAGGACTAGATTTCTGCAGAACTGAAGCTAATAATATAATATTATGTAATTATATTAGAACACGTGACTTTGAAGTGTTCTAGTTAGCAATATGACTTGAGGCAGTTTTAAATTTGGCTAATGCTAGATTTTGAAATCTTGCTTAAATGAAGATTGCCAAGAGGGTGAAAGGAGTTGTATATATATATATCAGTTATCCCAATCAGTTTGAATTTGAAAGTTAAAGAAATATTTAAAGTTACTACCATTGATAAGTAAGGCTAATCACAAAATGCTCATTTCCCACAAGCCAACTCATGCCTAACAACCTAAGTAACAATGAATCCCAACAGTAATCTCTTAACATGCACATACAACTGGGAAAAGTGAGCCTTCCAGAAAACATTACCTTATTTCTTCTAGCTCTTTTCTTATGTTTATGATTTAAAAACCTTTTTCAAAAACTTGGCATAGACCTTTTAGATAAGTTTCAAAAAATAACAAAAATTTTCTAGAATCGCAATGAGTTCACTTGTTTTCAACCAAAAGACCTAGATGCAATCTAAAATTTGCAGTTAATTTAACGTGAAGACAAAATTGCTTAATGTAGATTCAAAGGCTTTAGTATCAAGACAGAAAACGTAAATGTAGTCTTTTTCAAAGTACAGCCTTACACACTTGGGCTTTTGCCAAGAACACTTCACTAAATAATTGTACTGCATCCCATTTTCCCCCTCTCAAGTATGTTCTTTATTAATTGGATAAGAATTTAGGGACAACTTAGTGCTTCTCTTAAATGCGGTTTCTTTTTGAGTCAGTATACTCATTTCAAATTAATTTTAATGTTCCATTAGGGAGTAGCTATCCTAAATCATTTCTTCTTCCTAGAATTCAGCTCTGAACTGGGCTCCCTTGCCTCACCTCTCCCCACTTTGAATGTATGCCCTTCTTCCTGGAAACCTGCTGTTAATGTAATCTGTCACAGTTTTTGTTTTATCTGCTTATAAACGCATTGTGTTTTTAAAGCTGTTACTCATTTTGATCCTCTTTGTAATGCAAAGTGTATTTGAAATGCCACCAAATAAATACACATGCAACCATATTGAGAATGGAAATATGTAGTTTATTTACAACAGAATGCCACTGAATAATTTCTACCTTTGATTTTTTTAAAAAACAAAAAAACCCTATTAAACCTAATAATTAGAAATTAAAATATCACAGCAAGAAGCAAGTGTGACCTAAGCAATGCTCTGAATAGTATGAGATCTTCAGTTTGGACCAAAAGCAATGTTAGTGAACATATCCACACAAAGCATGGGAAGGCAAAAATTCCCGATGAAAGAGTACCACCAACTGCCCCTATAAATAAGAAGCAAAACCAGAACTGCCACACCGTAGTGCAGAATTTATTACTAATTAAAAGATATTTCTCCAAGAACAAGCCAATATAATGTTGAGCTTAGGGTCACTTCAAAAAAGAAAAAAAAATCTGGCTTTAAACTAGGTACAAGAACATTATCTCCTGGCTTTTGGACACCAGGTTAAATATTAACTCCATAATTAATAGCTGCTGTTCCATCCTCCCTTAGAAAACAAAGTTTTTTTCATTGACTGAAGCAAAATCATAGTCCAGGCCTCTGCGCCATAACGTCATAAGAAGTACACTGGAGACACTGCACAAATTCCAGGAATTAAAATGTCGAACAACTTGAAAAGCCTGTTCTTTAGCTTCATATAGTATCATATATTCAGTGTCACAGATTTGCTGTTCTTCTTTAACTGTAAAATAAATGCATTCATTTTACTTCTTAGTACTTGTAGCACAGACTTCTGTTCAAATAATACTGAATCATTTTATGTCACATCTCATCTATATTGGTAAAATTGTTTAATTTTAAAATATAGAAAATGTGAAACAATAGGATTAATCAATCCATGCAATATTTCTTGTTACCCAAGACCATGATTTTCTAAAGAAGTCAATATTGACCCCCGAGAATTGATGGGGATACCCATTGTTGCTGTTATTATTTGTAGTGTTTTTTTGTTATTCATAGGTACTATTAAAGAAGTACTTAATATAGCAATAGCAATAGCAGTTAGACTTATATACCGCTTCATAGGGCTTTCAGCCCTCTCTAAGCGGTTTACAGTCAGCATATCGCCTCCACAGTCTGGGTCCTCATTTCACCCACCTCGGAAGGATGGAAGGCTGAGTCAACTTTGAGCCGATGAGATTAGAACCGCTGAACTGCAGATAACAGTCAGCTGAAGTGGCCTGCAGTACTGCACCCTAACCACTGCGCCACCTCGGCTCTTATCCATGAGAGTATATGAGTGTCATTCATCAGTAAAGATTCTTATTATATTAAGATGAAGTCTCAGGTTCTCTCATCAACACACTTTGATGTGCTTTCTTTATAAACGTTTGTTCTTTCTTTATTTGTTTCAAAAAGTGTCCAAAAATGATGTCCAAAAATGCATTTTGCTATGGATTCCTGAGATTAAT